CTGCAAATATTATGACGCGCTGTGCAAACGTGCGCAGGAATTGATAAATTAATTAATTATTTTCCTTCATTGTACTCGATCCGGATTACCTAGATAAAGATAATGATTTTAATATTTACTACCATTTTTTGACAAAGATATTTATATATCCTAACTTTATATATTTTAGTGCTTTCGTGAGTTTGTCACCTAAATTACCGAACCAATTTTGATGAAGTTCGGCACAGAAATAGAGGCTAATAAGGAGATTTTCATAACATTGAGTTTTTTCTTGACTTCTTACCTGTTTATATTGAACCTAATTAATACGAAAGACAATAAAAAAATCAGTTAATATTTAGAAGTACTTCTTCAGTCACCAGCAGCTACTTCAGTTCCCCACATATTTAAACTCATGTTGATATATGATTCTGTTGAAACAACTAAGTAATTTGTTTGCAATGAGGAATTTTTATAAATGTGCTTAAATATTTACCTTGTCGGAGTTAACACGTAAATTCGATGAGCAATGAGCAAAATTTAATGTAAGAGTAAACAACAGCGGTTAATTTCATTCCGTTGCCTCATTATGGCGTAAAAAAAAGAAAGCACAATCGTTTTTTCGGTAATTATCGATAAAAAAGTTTTTAAGCCCCTATTTTGACCTTTTTTTGTTTTATTACCGACCTAAAGGTATTGTGCCCTTCGACAGGTGGACATAACACGTGCGCAAGACACGCGCTACGCATTCAGTAGGGTCGTACGCGCATCCCGCCCCACTCCCAACTCCAGGAGTCCGTAACGACCTTCAAAACACGATAACTTTACTCGAGAAAAATGTAGACGTAAATAAAACATTAATTTAAATGATCGAGACTTAGTGGTGCGCACCAATAGTTAGAAATAGAATAAATAGTTTGTTTAGTCGAGTGCCTTGCCAGGCATGTGTAATGTTAGGTCAGGCCGAGTTTTACAACGATACCATTTTAACAACACTCTTCGTGAAATTCTCGTTTAATTAATCCTTGAAGCAGGATTGGCTGATCTGACATTGGGACCAACCAATCATAATAATATCAAACAACAATAATGACTAACTGTTTACATTGAATACTTACATATTGTGCAATTACTAAGTTGCTTCTACAAAGTCTTATCTAAACACACTTTTAAACCAAATCTTAAGTATAGCGAAGTGAAGTGGTTCACGCAATGCACTTGATATAAAAAATAAACAATAATAAATAAATACTTGGAACTTGAAATGTGTGGCAGCCCTACCCAAAGTACGTCATCAATTCAACGGATTTCCATTAGCATTGTCATTTATTGCATTTTTATTGACATTTAATTTTCTTTCAGCAGATGTTTTAAAATTCGAACGATTTTCGAATTTGGAAGGAGGCCGTATGAAGGATACTCACATTCCTGGATAACCTACTAATACTAAGTAAAAGACATTCAATTTTATATTTTTGTAATTAAGTTGAAAATCTAATAACAGGTTTTGGATAAGTAATTTGATGTGCTAGCATCTAGGCGCACTTAAAAAGTCAGATGCATAGATTATAAACTAAGTTAATGTATGTTTGTGTGCGTTTAAAAGGGCATTAACACTATCTTTAGTTAAATAAGAAACTACATAATGACTACTGAGGTTTTTGTTTTTTTATACTTGATTCTATGTGTGAGAAGTAAAGATTGCAATTAAAAATAAATGCTGCAACTTAAGTTCAGTGTGGTCGTCGTTCTCGCAAATTGGTTTATCACGGGTTTGATTCCAGAATATTTGTAAATCGCATTGACAATTTTCTGTGCTTACTTCTACTATACATTTGCTATTTTGATTATACTTCGCATGGATGGAATTATCGTATCGGATCGAATGATACCTAAGCTTTCATAATTAAGTTAGTTAAATCGCCAATCTTGTCAAAGTAGGTACCTAACCCATTTTGACAAGATTGGCGATTTATTAAAGAAGGACCAAATTAAAAGTACCCTTCGCCGACGAGCATGCAAGGCAATACTGATGAGTCATCAGTATTGCCTTGCATGCTCGTCGTATAGTGATGACTATTGATGAAGCGAAAGAGGTATGTAAGAATCGTAGCAATTGGCGTTCCATGGTCTCTGCCTACCCTCATGGGAGACAGGCGTGAAGTTATGTGTATGTCCCTACTTAACTCGTCGAGTACCGGTTTTATAGACACAATTAAAGAACAATAGGTCGCGGTCACCGGTGACCGCTTGGTGTTTGACAGTTTAAGTGACGAAACTAATAAAGGTCTATACTTACTGATTTATCATCTCATGTACCTACCACTCGTAATAATGATACCAACCTACCCAAGTGAAGTGTTCCAATTAGGATTTGACGAAGAAGTTTGGAATGGAATTTAAACCAATTATTATTATGTAAAATGAAACGTAAAAGCGGTTTTATAAAACTACCCTCTTCTTACACCACTTACGTATCTGATACTTAAATGTTTTTGTTTACGTTTACATTGATAAAGTTAGCTAAGTAGTTTACCATTTATACCTATAATTCATATTGTATTTTTCTTGAAAACTTCATATTTATTCTTAACTTCCAAATAAATAGTACTTAATACGAATTTCAAAACTTAGCGATAGTTTTACATACTTTATTTTTACAAGGGGACGTTTTTTAAATCACTTCAATATAAATTAATAAGTATAATAATTATGTGTAACACTTACCTATCAGATATAAAATTAATTCGATGTCCCACAAACAATAGTCCACACAAACACGATCAGTTTCACACAATATTTGTACACACCGCGCAGCTGTCACACGATACACAAGCTACTTGCCGCCACGGCCGCGCGCGCACTTCTGCCAGGCGCGACTCGCGAGCTCCGCGCGCTACCACAGAGAAAGGTGAACTTTTTTAACCGCTTCGTTGCACCAACTTCGAAAGGGGTTCCATAAATTCTTAATTCATACAAAATAATTACTAAAAATGCAAATTAATATCTAAAACAACCAAGAGATTGTAAAATTTCCTCTTAACGGTTTAAATCTTTTTTGTTCTCGATACATTCATATTCATACACCGTAACCATGATCTAATCAGCACATTAAAACAGCAATAAAATGCAAAAGTAATTATATTATTATCTTTATAGGCAGTCCATGCTAGTTGCATGTGCGTTATAAAAATAAATCACCGCGAAAATGTTACAGTGAAGGTAGTTACAGAAGATTTATGCAGAATCTCAGTAATTTGAATGCGAGAATAGAAAAGAAAGTATGTAATTAAGTACTTACTAAAAATACTGCTTTATATTATTTGCAAATGATCACAATCATCACTATTTAAATTATTATGAGGAGTTAATGCGGTTGCCTGACAAATGGCGCCAAATCGGCCAGGTACCTCAGTCACCGCCATTACGACGGCAGCTGCTGCGTCTACGACCTATTGTCACTATTGTAATGCTTACAGTCGCATTTATTACAGCTGATTTTAACCCGTATCGGATTGCAATAAGAACTATAATCGCTGATAACGACTCTATTTAATGTTAACATGGCTATAATAATGTGCTATTATTAATCGGAAGTGTAGATTTTTATTGGGGTTTCATTGAAATTAGATTTCTATAAGATCTCAATAAGTACTGCCCTACCTATTTTTGGCAAGTTATTCAAGTTTAATAATGTATAAACATCAATTAGTAGCAGTGATTAATGAGGTATTATTGTTCAAACACGACTTTATTATTGTGGTATTCTCACACTATAAGTAGTTAACATTTTGGCAAAGTTAATGAAGTGCTCATAAACACTAGATCCGTAATAAAACAAGTGTGAATAACTTGTTCCATTGTAGGTAGGAATGATAATGATGTTTTTAGTACCTATAACGTTTTTATTATTTTCATACCAAAATCTGGAGCATGTTGACCACACAAAAACAAAAATATTATTTGTGAAATACCTACAGATAAATAATTGCTCCATGCAGGATTTGAGCCCTTGCAGCATTGAACAGCAGTCACTTGGACGACACTTTGCCAGTGCAGTCTTCATTATTAATTTTAACTCGTCGAGTACCGGTTTTATAGACACAATTAAAGAACAATAGGTCGCGGTCACCGGTCACCGCTTGGTGTTTGACAGTTTGAATTACTCTTTGTGGCTACATTTAGTTGAGATTTAATTCCTATACAATAAACGCCTGTTTACAATATTATAGCAATAACATAACTACCATAACTTTAGTCTTTACTCAATGATATTATAAATAATAAAGTCTTTACTGTTTTGTTCATCATACAGTATAGACAACTAAGTGTGTTTATAGACACATAATAAACTGACAAAATAAAAGACAGTAATTAATATGACATCACGCTTGTATTCACCCGAAAAGGATAGGCAGAAGTGTTTGTGCAATTTGCAGTGGGAAAAGCCTATACGAATAATTGTGTACCTACCTACTTTCTACTTACATAAACGTTTACTAAACGTTTACTTTGTTATTGTTAGTTATATTTACTGATATGTAAGAGGGGAGTTGCTACCTATTGCTGTATAGTCTAAGTACCTATACACGTACACCTGGACACTTGACATGGTCTGGTCTCCATGGTGTCATTATCCGCTTCGATTCACATTTATTTTATCATACACATGCACCAGTAACGTACGATGATTCTATTAAGAACCCAGAGAATAATAAGATTCCATATTGGCAGTTTTTTAGAAATGGTTTATTCTAATATTTTTGTACTGAGAATATCAATGCAATTTTTAACAGTTCAAAAGTTTGAAGTGACAGAAAGACAAGCGGCATTAATTTCACAGCATATACAAGTATTTGTTGTTGTTGTTTTGGTTTATGAAACAAGTACAAGCTTTCTGCTACGACTTCATGAATTCATGTAATGAAACGTACACAATATGTAGTCTGTGGCGAAATTACCTTTGAAGTGACGTTTAATACGTCAATCGGTCAATTTACTGTCAAAACAAATCTCCCAATATGCCAGGTGTATGTGATGAAATTATTGACGATATAGAAGATTTAATATCTTCGCAGGACATTACACCGAAAGAAAGATACGCCAGCAGGAAAAGTGTGAACGTGCGATCAAGAAAACGTGACAACAAGAATGATTCTGAGCCCGCTGAAAAGGTTATTTTGGAGAGTGTTGTACCAGGTATAACCTCAAAAATTGTTTATTTTACTACATTCCGTACGTGTTATTCATGCAACTGTTTAAATATCTGTTGAATATTATGTGTATAGCTGTTACTTATCGAATGAGGCTAAATTTTTTCAAACTATTTATCCATAAAATGAAATTAGGCTTCCAATCAAGTTGATGTTATTTTGTGTCTCTAAAATTGATTAACTAATCTTCTAGGTACCCAAACTATCTACGTAAAGACATGGGGATGTGCCCACAACAACTCAGACTCGGAATACATGGCCGGTTTGTTGGCCGCCAATGGGTACAAGTTGACTGAAGATAAGTTTGCTGCACAGCTGTGGCTGCTCAACTCCTGCACTGTCAAGAGCCCTTCTGAAGATCATTTCAAGTTAGTATCGCATGATAAAGAAGTTACAGGTTCTTCAGGGGATTGGTGGTGGGGCACATATTGAATTTGAATGATTAGAGTAGACAGATTAAATATGGAAACTTCATTAGTTTTAAAATATTGCTGTGTGGTATGACAGCCTTGTGCTATTACCATGTGAGATAAGGATAAAATGTTTTAGACATAGATGTACCTAGATTTTAAATAACATTTAAAATAACTTATTGTATTGCCTATGTTGTCTTTGTAATATTAAAAATAATATTATTACAATACAAATATTAGACCTATTTATCAATTTTACATACATTTTTATTCTAGAAATGAGATAGAGCTGGGCCAGAGCAGAGGTATACATGTGGTAGTGGCTGGGTGTGTGCCGCAGGGAGCTCCCCGAGCCAACTACCTGACCGGACTCAGTGTCGTCGGAGTGCAGCAGATTGACAGGATTGTTGAAATTGTAGAGGAAACACTTAAAGGTATGTCTATCAAGAGTTATTCAATGCATTTTGTTGCATATCAAAATAATTTGTTGAGATGATACTGCATGCAGAAAAGGATTTATGTGACTTTGTTTTGATGCTAGATAGGTAGATGCTAGATAGATAGTTGCTCCCCACTAATATTTATTTTAAAAGTTTCATGCACATGATTGCATATTAGGTGGACTTAATACCGTTAGTAGATAACTATACAGCTTTGAGTTCAAAGACCAACCGCCACTGAAATTGATATCTTAACCTTATAGTAAGGGATAGTTTAATGTTGATGTTGTCTTCAGAGCTATTAGTCAAGAATAATTTTTATGTCTACTGTTTTTCAGGCCACACAGTCCGTCTCTTTGGTCAGAAAAAGACTGGTGAGGGTAGAAAAGCAGGTGGTGCCTCCCTCCTTCTCCCAAAAGTGCGCAAGAATCCGTTGATAGAGATCATCCCTATAAACACAGGATGTTTGAACCAGTGCACATATTGTAAGACTAAGCATGCAAGAGGAGAGCTCGGCAGCTACCCTCCTGAGGAGATTGTGGAGAGAGCCAGACAGTCGTTTACTGAAGGAGTCTGTGAGATATGGCTGACTAGTGAGGATACTGGTGAGTAGAAAGTAGTTGAGACACTTTCCTACTAGAGTTGTGAAGATTTTGTAAAAAGATAGGTAATAATTGTTGCGCAAAATTACTCGTCGACAAAACAGATAAAACTTATTAGAAACATGAATATACAAATAAAATGGGTTTTACTTTAAGAGTACTAAGAAAGCAATAAACGAAGTTACTATGGTAAACTGGAAAGAATGAGATAGTTTTGCGTATACGAAATCTTACAAAACTAAAATCGCCAATATGAACTAATCAACAGTTAAATATTCTTAAGTAACATAACATCACGCCTTTCATACCCAAAGGGGTAGGTAGAGGCACCTCTACCTACCCGTAATGTACACACATTACGGCACTTAATGCCACTGTACCATGTAACACCCACTTTTCAATATTTTATGTTATGAGTCCCATGTAATAGGGGGTGAGCCTATTGCCATATACCGGGTACAATTCCATACTTCGTGCTACCAATATATGAGATTTTTTTTAAAACCCAGTAATACTGTGCCCGACTCGGGAATCGAACCCGACAGACCTTGCCCGGCAGTCGCACTTGCGACCACTCGGTCAACGAGGCAGTCTTAAGTACTATTTACTTATTAATGTTCTAGGCACATATGGCCGCGATATCGGCACATCTCTACCCGAGTTGCTATGGAAGCTGGTGGAAGTGATCCCCGAGGGGTGTCGCCTGAGGCTGGGTATGACCAACCCGCCCTACATACTGGAACACCTCGCTGAAGTCGCCAAGATCATGCACCATCCTAGAGTTTACAAGTAAGTGGGGTGTGTTGCCCAAGTGATCATAAGTGCCTGCTAAGAAACGGAAGCCCCCTTCGGAAAAGAAAACACGTATGTAATGTAAATGCAACTGAATAGAAGGAAAAAAAATCTTAAATTCACATGCTAAAACAAGTGATATTTACAGATTATAGTGTTCGTTTAGAATTATAGTGAACTAGCTTCTGCCCGCGACTTCGTACGCGTAATCCCATTTTTTCCCGTCCTCGTTCGTGATTTTCGGTAAAAAGTAAAAAAAAATGGGGGAAAAAGTATCCTATGTCGGTCTCCTGGCTCTAAGCTACCTCCCTACCAATTTTCAGCCAAATCTATTCTGCCGTTCTTGAGTTATAGGTGGTGTAACTAACACGACTTTCTTTTATATATATAGATTATCGACACACTTTTCCCAAGTATTTATTGCTTTTAGAAAAAGTCATTTTCTAGATATATAAGATATATTTAACCTATTATTGACGTATTCCAGGTTCCTCCACGTGCCAGTCCAGTCAGGCAGTGACCAGGTGCTGTCCGACATGAAGCGGGAGTACACGAGAGCTGACTTCGAAAAGGTCGTCGACTTCCTTAGAGAAAGGTGAGTGATATATACGTGTGATATTAACAACAATTTAGGACACGAATGTCTTTAATTGATTTTGAACCTTAGCCTATTGGAATAAGGTTGAAAATGTATTAATAAAACTACGACTTAACAACCGATTTCTGTCGTTATCGCCATAAGTAAACATGACCATTGAAAAACAACCCTAATAAAAAACAAATAAGATCGATTTTAACTGTACCTAACTAAGAATAGTTCTCATCTGTTCCAGAGTGCCAGGTATAACAATAGCGACAGATATAATCTGTGGGTTCCCTGGCGAGACCGAGGAAGACTTCGAAGACACGATGAAGCTCTGTGACAAGTACAGGTTCCCTTCACTGTTCATCAACCAGTTCTTTGCACGACCTGGTACACCCGCCGCTAAGATGACTAAAGTAAGTGTGAAGAAATATTTTTTCTTATGAGTTAGGGAAAACGAACTGGCGAAATCCCTAAGCAATCGATGCCACCTAAAGATACCCGCAACACCAGAGGAGTTTTATAACTCCGCTTACTCGTACTTATGTACGTCATCGGTATCAGGGAGTTTGAAATGACACATGTATGTCTTTTTTGTGATATTCCTGTAGGTTAAGACTTTGACTGCCTACAGAAAACTGTTAAAAAAAGGCAAATCGTCCGCTAACATAGGTTGATTAACGACTAGCATTCAGACTTCGCTGATATACGCAGAAATGAATATTTAAATTGGTATGTTACTTAATGCGATGAGACAAAAATAACGGACGAAACTAAAAAAACCTTCCCATAAAAATCCACGATATTAGTACTAAACAAACTATCTCATACAGGTCCCAACACAAGAAGTAAAAAAACGCACGAAGAAGCTGTCCGAGCTATTCCGTTCATATGAACCGTATGGCCACAAAGTGGGCGAGATACAAGAAGTACTCGTCACAGACATATCACATGACAAGAATTACTTCGTGGCCCACAACGAATACTATGAGCAAGTATTAGTGCCCAAAGAAGAAAAATATATGGGAAAGATGTTGACTGTGAAAATTACTAGTGCGACCAAATTCTCTATGATGGGAGAGCCCATAGACAAACCCAAGATGGCCGGTCTGACCGCGCCATTGAAGAAGGGTGTAGTCTCTGGTGTCTCGGAGGTACAGACTGTCAAAAATGGCGGCAAAGTGCCAATACCACTGCCTATCATAATGCTGATTGTTGCTATTGTTTTCAAACTGATCTGGATATTTTTATAATACTTAAGTATAAAATATAGTGCTAATGACGTTACAATTTGTTTTATTTATTAATTTTATTATGCTTTTTTTTTCAAATGCAGCTAGTGCATTTTACCTTGACACCAAAAGACTTATGAACCTTGTTTTTTCTTTAAACTAATCACTGTTAGTTTTTATTACACAAGTTATTTTACATAGATTGAAAACCTTTAGATCGTAATTCATATGAAAATCTACATCTTCTTTATGAACGGAATAATAAGAAAAAAGTATCGGTTTATTTAAAAACAATGAAGTCATTTAGACTAGATTATAATATTACCATCAAGCTGCGTCACTAGAAAATAAATAATGACTTTTAATTTCTATCTAATATTCTTTAGACTAAACACGATATAAAGTTACAAAAATACTAGTACGTAACGTAAAATTAAAACATTACAATATAAAGTATATTAAGTATAAACAAACAAAAGATGTTCGTTTGTTCACCACACAAAGGCCGCGCCACACCACGCCCGGGTGACTCCATTCACACAACGTTATATAAGCCAAGCCGACACGGTCGCTATTCTGTCTGTCTGTCTGCCGTGAACAGGGCACTCTTATTCAACAGACTTGGTAAAGGGGTAAGTTTAATGTGTTTTATTTTGGGGACGAATTTGATTTAATCTGAGCTACTTATCAAACAAGAGCAAAAAAACTTGAGAACTTTTTTAAAACCGCTTTTGATTTCTTTTAGTGATTTTTTGTGTAAATTACAGTTAATGAAGAGCTTTCGTTAAGCCTTTTCAATTTGGATATGTATTCATATTTATTTGTCTAGGAGTGTCCAAGATGTCGGCATACAACCAGCCAACTGCTAAGCGGCAAAAAGTTCGAGAACCGAGAACAGACAACGTAGATTATTTTCAAGGTATGTCTTATTTAATTACTTGCAAGGAATGATGACGTAGCATCCTTCTATCTTCTGCTAATCTATTGTACAAACGAGGAACTTACGTCACAAGTACACTGATACAGTGAGGAATGAAACCAAAATTTAAAAGATTTCCTAAACCTGTACCAAAGGGGTATGTCGATAATTTGAATAAAGAAATTGGTATTTCTCAGGTATAGAGAAGGTAGAGTACAACAATATGGCGTCGCCAGCAGAGAGTGGCAGCTACCGGTACTACAACGTGTCGGAGCGCGTGCACTCGCGGCCCATGGACGACTGGCTCAAGTACAGCGTGTCGCTCACTGACTTCAGGAGCAACGGTAGGGTATCTGAATATTAGGTACACAATTTAAACAATCTTGCTGCTGCAATAATATCCATCACCTAGGCCCGTAACATTTTATTAAAGTTTACTCATTAAACAGCTCGAAAGATACGATTCATTTACAAAGAGATGTAAAAAATAGTAAAAAAAATCAGTATCATTTCCAAGATAGGGATTGACATGAGGGTACGAGCCAAGCAAATTATTTTCATTTCCACATTCAGGTTCCGACGTACACGGTCGTTCTACGCACTCTCGACCTTGGGACGACGGCACGGACTCCATGGACAATCACAAGCGACACATCAAGGCTCTGTTCGACCTCTGCGCTAAGCTAGGAGTCAAGTACTGGACGGCCTACGACTCCGACCTGGTGCCGTACTCGGAGAGCTATGAGGAGAACAAGACGCATTGGGATGATGTCACCGAGTACATACAGGAACTTACACAGAGGTACCATGTAAAGCTACTGTGGATAGCTCCGGATTTGCATTCACATCCCAGGTAAGTAACAAAGAACTTGATGGTGGTTTCACTATGGTCCCTGAAAAGGACTTTGCTGCCATTGCTTTGAAATTAGGTATTTAGAACCCAATTATCTAAAGCGGAATTTGTTACAGATACGTATCAGGCGCCTTCACAAGCAACGATGCGTCCACATTCATCCAAGCAGCCACACAAATAAAGAGATGTCTAGAAGCGGCACAACGTTTGAACTCAGAATGCTTTCTAATATGGCCGTATAGAGAGGGTTACCATACTCCATTCCAAACTGACGTCGCTAGAGAAATAAAACTATTCGCTAAACTACTAAAGCTCACCGCAGAATACAAAGACAGACTGAATTATAGATGCCAATTACTAATAATGCCATATTACAAGTCCTACCATAACAGAAACTTTTACGGAGGCTGGCAACACCACCAATGGCGGGAAAGAGATCTAGTTTACACGTATATGTGGGATGTGACGAGTTGTCTCTACTTGCTAAAGAATTATAACTTGGATCGGTATTACAAGGTGTCTGTTACGCCTGGACATCACATGTATATGGCTAACGTGTAAGTGAACTGAACGTGAACGTGAAATTCTTCCATATGTTCTCCTGGGACAGCCTCTATACTGGTGTTATCATTTACATAGCTTTCATAAATATCTTAAGTATGCTTGGCTGCTTGCATTGTCAGATTTCAGTATGATTACAGAAAATATTACAAAATTTAATTACTTATCCTGTCTATGTATCACGATATTAATCAAAGTAGCTAAAGTGCGTATTTCACTCATTAAATCTGTATTTTGTAGATACAACATGCTGGGTGGTGTGACAGTAACAAATGAGTGGGACCATTACGATAGTAGAACTCTGACCTTGATGATGAAGTGTATTGTGGATCAGGTGGGTCCTCACTACGTACAACAGGAACACGTTTATATGTATTTCCAGCACATTATAATTAAGACTTTGACTGCCAATACAAAACTGTTGAAGGTAAATCCTCCGCTAACGCCGGTCCCGGTGACCCCCCCATGACGTGTTAAGAAAACACTTATTGTGCGCGATTATCTTGATGAACCGATGAACCGATTTTGATGTAATTTTCAGAAAAGTGTTTGTTACTCTTAGAAGAAAATTTTAGTATGTATATTCATTAACCGATTTAAAAAAAAGAGAAGGCTAAAGTCGGTTTTTTTAATCGTAGTTTATAGAGTCTGGCAAACGAAAGTAAAAAAAGTCTCTACTTTCGTTTGCCAGACTCTAAGAATATTATTTGAAGTCTTACTCGCCAAATATAAAATTGAAAAAAGTATTTCATAATTATTTTTATACAAAGCTAACAAAACAACACAACAATATAACAAAAATTGAGAAACTACATAAATATAATAATTCTATTAATTACTAGGGTTCATCGCCACCTGGCGGAATAAACTTGAAACTAGTACCTCGGCGAGACAGTGACCTGCGCGAGCTGACTACGATGTACGTGAAGTATATCGATGCTGTGGCCAAAGCACTGAGAATGGCCTGCACTGTGATCGCTGAACAAATATTGTCCAAGCATTTACAGGTGAAGAAACAATTAGTCTATAATAATAGTCAATGTCTTAAGTTAATGCAAAAGTGCATATGTTATGCTTTTCGTTTAAACTGCTGAACCGCTTATATAGATCTGAATTTTATTTGATACCTAGCTACTTCCGCGCGGTTTCACACGCTCTGCTCAGCTCCTATTGGTCGTAGCGTGATGTTTTATAGCCTATGGTCAATGTTCATCCTTGATAAATGCGCTATCCAAAACAAAAAGAATTATTCAAATCAGACTTGATGTTACGGAGATTAGTGCGTTCAAACAAACAAACAAACAAAAAAACAAACTTCCGCTTTATATAATAGTATAAGATAAGATAGAGAGGAACTATGGAAAGTTCGACGTTTATAAAGACTAGTTGATTGGAAATTGTGGTTTTAATTTCAGCAACGCTACTCTACGTACTACAGTGGAATCGGATCTCGGATCATCAGTAGTGACATCTCTATGGAGGAATGTGAAGAATATTATAAGTAAGGATTACTCCACACAGTTTCTGTTACTGAAAGACTTTACCTTCTTTTTTTATTTTTTAAATCTTATTCTTTATTGAATCATCATAGATGAAAAAAAAAATGTGTGGCCAGGGTTAAAAAAGTGAGAGAAGCATTCGCTCATTGTAGAAACGTCAATTAAAATGTAATTATTTCTTAATTACTATGTTTTTTGGCTTACTCACGTAATTATTTGACGAGGAGCTTGACTAATTTTAAGCCATCGCCACGTCGCGGATCGCGGAATGCTGCTCATGAATATGAGCCTCTAGGATGGCTTGAAACTAGTCGAGTTCCTCGTCAAACAGTTACGTGAGTAAACTGAAAAACATAATGATTAATTTATATTAGTAATGCTGGAATACTGAAACGTTACTCAATTTTAAGTCGTGCTTAAATATCGTGCCATCTCTGTCATTTCACAAAGAATTTGTAGTGAGAACTATACTTAAGCGTGACTTAAAATTGAGTAACGTTTCAGTATTCCGGCATTACTAATATAAATTGTCTCACGAAAGTTATATTTAACATTTGTCAATTTGTAAAAGAAAATTTTATTGAATCATCATAGATGAAAGAATATATCACTATAATTTGCTAGGGTTAAAAAAAAGGAAGAAGCAATCGCCCATTGCAGAAACGTCGATTAAAATGTAATTATTACTTCCTTGCAGAAAGAACCAACCTCACGGAGATGTGCCATCTTCAAAGTACGAACACTTGGACGTGGTGTTCCAGAGACACTTGGATGCCTGCGACCATATATGATAGTTGATATTTGACATAGAGTTAATAAGAAAAGGATACTTGTACAAACATTTTGAACTTTATTTGTTGTCTTGTGCAGTAATACCGACTTGATTTAAATAATTCTTCTTGGTATTTCTCTGTTATCTTTCTTTCTTCTATCTTCTGTCCTCTTCTTACTTCTTTAACTAGGGCTATTGTTTATATCTCACTAGTATGGCGTAAACTAAGGCTTCACCGTCCAAACCTCACTTTTGTACTCTATTGAATATATTAGACAGGAATAATGACAAGATCTTAATGTACAGAGGCGCCATCTACAGTGAGTGCATAAATATAGTCTATGTTCAATCTGCTTACATACTTCTTTTTCTTCTTCTTAGTCTAACTCATCTATTTCTTCTTTTTGTGTCAAGTCACTTGTAAGTTGAACGTGTTTTATAAGTAAACAATAAGAGTCAACAGATAATGATTTTACAGACTGATTTTTTATAAAACGTTGCCTCGCACTGGTATTTTCTCCTGTGTTGTGGGTGCGCTTATAAACATAGAATTTCACATACACATGACACTCAGACCCGGAACAACATACTGTGGATCAGACAAAGAGTTGTTCCGTGCGGGAATCGAACCTGCGACACCTCGTGTGGCCTTCATTTGTCCAGCCACCGCGCCAACCGTGCAGTCAACTGACTAATTGACTCACCATTAATTGCTGTTATATTAATAAAAATTCAACTTATTAAAATAATAAATAAAACAATGAATAAATATTTCAATCTGTTTTATTTCATTTTGCATCGTACTTTCAGATTATTTCTTGGATTTTTTTTGTATTTTTTCTCATAATATTCACAGCGACTTACGTTCTATACAGTAGCTATATATAGATACAAATTATGTATAGTATATTGTACACGCGATTGTGCAATCATGTATATAGTGTATATAGTTTTTTCTTGAATATTTGAACCCACAAAAACTCAGAAAAGGAAGCCTGGTTTAAGTTTTAAATGCATATTTAACACGTTTAAATTGACTTTTTAATGTTTTATCACAAAATAAGATGACGATATAATATATATTGTAGGATGACGATATAAAGTTGATGGGGTCCAAATAGTCACAAAGCTTGGAAGCAAGTTGTCATATATTTCAATTGTTTACAAATCATTAAATTATCACTTGCAAGAATAAATTCGAGTGATATATTTAGCAGAAACCCACAGTAACTGCTCTGTTTATCTCTTTTAATAATAACTTAGTACTTCATTAAAATATTATAAATAATAATCGAGTTCAGCGCCCGATTCCTCTGTAAGGCAGAACAACCTACGTCTTAGACTGAAAAATAAAACCTAAAAAAATGGCGACGCCAACAATATAAAAAAAAATTAAGCACATTCATTAAGTATCGACTTACAAACTATAAACTTATAACTAAGCACAGTACACGAATACTGTCAAAATAAATAATTAAAATTACACTAAATAATATCATGATCGATTTCATTTCACAAAGCGAGGTCTCCTAATTTAAAACAAAATGCCAATTCCTCTAATATATACATATAAAAAAGGTTCATAAAACATTTCATTGGAAAATAGCATGTAAATCCTAATACTGAAGGAACAAAATGGCAGAACATAAAGATATAGTTTAGGAATGAAACTGTACTGGCTAGTGATGTGACTACAAACGATTATCGTCTGTAAAGACATTGTAATATCGCGTAGTCCTCCCATTTGGAAATATAAGGAGAATTAAGGTTCAAAATGGTTCCATCACTTGCCTGAATTCAAAGCAAAGTCTCTTGTTTACATTACACATGTTCTTGAAAGATTTTCATAGCAAAAATACATAATTACAAAAATATTTCGCTCTTCTTTCATTAGGAAACAAAATTATTGTTTGAAAGAAACAAACTTATTCAAACAGACACTCGTAGATTGAGCTACTTTTACCTGTCTTTATGCGATTTCCAACTCTAACAATATGTAATTAAGTTGAAAATCTATCGCAGACACATGACAGGTTGGAGTAGGGTGTACTATCGATCAATTTAATAATCAACGTTATTAAAATACTACAAATGAGAGATAATAATATTATGCTACGAACGTTACAATAAAAATGCTTTGATGACTAAATAATTACCATTGATTACTAAATTGAACACAGTAACAAAAATAATACATCAAAGTGTGCGAGACTATTTAAAATTTTGCCTAAACTTTACGTACAAAGCAGGTTATGAAAATCTATACATTTAATATGAATTAAAATTTTATAATTAGATCGACGAATTGATTACAATAATTTAAAACTTCAATGAAGAATAAGCAATCACAATTTAAATTAAGAATTAAAAGCAACGTTTGATTTTTACGTACTCGTATGATAATGGCTTGTTAGAAAAGGAATAACGAAGAAATGGAGATAATAATTTGAATGACTATTGCCGGCATACTGAAACTTTACTCAATTTTAAGTCGTGCTCAAATATCGTGCCATCTCTGTCGTTTTACAAAGAATTTGTAGAGATAGAACTATACATAAGCACGACTTAAAATTGAGTAGCGATTAAGTATTCCGACATATATATTTTTTCCATATTTTATTTTGACTAGACTAGAAGAAGAAATAGTCCAGACGCGGAAAAAAGACGCAGTCACTGCAAAAAATTATAGTAAAAAGAAAATGTTTGACAATATCTATCCTATGTCTGTTATGCATCTTTAATCCATTCAGTCCATCTTTAATCAATAATTGATTTAAAAAATAGTTATGCGGTAGGATTTGAATTGCACTTTATCATAATTATTTCAAAAGATAAATGTCTGTCGGTATACCTTTTCTAACAAACTTAGTTACCGATTTAGTATACCAGTCTACTTATCAGCCGATTGGGCAAATTACTATGGAAGTATGTTTTCTAATAACGCCTTTTGGGTGCACACGACAAAAACTCGTATTTATTACCTACGATATTAAGTACATTTTCCAATAATAACATTTTTATGTAAGACCTACACTTACATACAGTGTAAGCAATGTAAAATAGTAAGTTAAAGTTTTAGAATTATCGTTAAACACATATAAATTGGGTGATTGCCAACTAGTCAAATTCAATACTTTATTCGAACTGTCAAAAACGATAATGTTCTATGACTTTTTATGCGTTTGTGTATTGTGACGTCACGTTTTTTTTAGCGTCAAACAGCATACTTATTTCTTAAAAAATGCTGGAAAAATACAAAAATTAAATTGGTCATAAAATCAATTAATGAAAGTGTGATTATATTTTATTGTATTGAACAGGCGAAATAATTTATTTTTGATTAAGAAAAGTACCCAATTCTAAGTGATTTGTTTATTTTAAGCAAGTTGAAAGAAAGTATTGGATCAGTATTAACTTAGTTTATCTACCTGTATTACACATATCATCGTGTGTTCCCAAAATAACATTACAACGACAGTATCTATTTGTTCCCTAGAATATATTTTAGTTCGATATGAACTACTCTTTGGCTACGAAGCTAACATGATATATTTGTGACTAGCTTGCCGAAGCCAAGCTGTGAGCTGTGCTGGACGCAAGCTTTTAATAAATATTTTATTACGTTTAATGTGGATATGATGCGATTATACTGTAATAAAGATGTTTAAAATGTTCTTCAGTTAATGGTAAACGATTTGTACGAGCTTACTAAGATTCTAATGAGAAGGTATATGAAGTGAAAGAGATAGCTAGATTTAGTAGTATAGTTTTTTACCTGTACTATTGAGAGTCAGGTTTAATGGTAAGTCTGATTGTGTATTTTCGCTGTTCAATAGGATTTTTCATACATATATGCTATGTATAGTTTTAATATTTCAATTAAACATAGGAACTCGTCTAAAAGTTCAATTAGACCAAAAAACAAAAAATTTAAAAGTGAAGCTATTTGCTAATGAGCATGGAATGCCATGGCTTAGATTTCTATCGAGCAAGAAACTCCATAGGTTTATTATTATTTATTACTGTAATTAAATACGTTGGACAATCATTTTACTGTAACTATTATTAGTTTTATTGCTGATATTATTATTTATTTACTGTATGATTTCTTTACATACCATTGATGTATCATTTTACTGATCTCACGTAACTAATATCCACATAATATTTTATGCTAGATCCTGGAGATAGGAGATCGAGGCGACTTGTACGTTAGTATTAGTACAGACTAGATATATAAATACAACCGTTACGCCTTTAGTTCCTCCGTGTATATCATAAACGAATATTATGTATATGCTGTTACGGTAATTTGAACCTTATTGTATCGTGCAGTGTTTTAGAGAATAAAGGCAATTTGTGATTCTCTTTAAGTTCAATTAGCTGGCAAGTTTGTTACCAGAAACCATTTGATATTATAAAGTCGTTATGCAAAAGTGAATTTATGCTGTAACAACTGTAGATAAGATTGAATTTTCTTGAAAATACTTGGTTTTTGTGCAGTTTACAATAATTTTCTTATAGTAAAAGGCACAGATGTGTGCGTTATAAGCTTCTAAATGTTTATTAAAAGTGCTATAACTGGCAGTGTTTGTCTATACCCCTATCTATGGACGGGAATACACTTGAGGTACTAAAAACTTGTCCATTACTTCCATAGTAAGATGCGCCGAACTTATTAACAATTGTGTAAACATTACGATAATTAAATAAATACACGGGGCCAGTCCACAACTATAATCACTAAAATTACATACCACGGATTAGTTAACAAATGGAGAGAACAAACCATCTAAGAGAGGAGCATCAAGAGTGAGCTGACAATAGATTCCATTCCGAATTATGCCAACCTAATACTCTATTTGTTAATTACTCCGTGGCATTCACATCTATGCAGCTTTGCATACTTTTTTTTTTGTAGTTTTTATATACAAATGTTTTAGCTTTACATTTGTACACTAATTTCGCTAGGCAAGCCCTTATATTTTAAATGTTAATCGTCTTTAACGAGGGCTTGGAGAATATGTTTTTTAATTAGAATATCGTTCAAGTCTATGCTCCTGTTTCAAGACGAAAATAGGACTATATTTTGTTTCTACAAAATTAATTTTCAGTACATCCATAATTATAATTCAAAAACTCATAAATAAAGTCATTGTTGCATTCACAATTTCATAACTATACCAACCACAGCTACAAAATACGGCTTAGCCATAACTTTAACATTAAAAACAAAATCACAAGGTTATGACTAAAACTGCCATTACTAATAACGCAAAAATGTTTTTAAAATCGTAAATAAATAACATTGCTCTCCTTTCGAAGTCTTGTAGGACAATTATTAGTTACCTGTGGTTTCATAGACGATTAACTCTGTTAGAAGTTAAGATACGGCCTCACTCATCGTCAGCCGGTTCCGTGCCGAAGTAACGGTCCCCGAAGTTCCCAATACCGGGCAATACGTAGAATTTCTCGTTAATCTCCGGGTCTAGCGCTGATGTCACTATTTTTACCTGTAGAGGTGATAAAAGATAATTATATTAGTATAATTTTCTTATAGAGGCAGGTTTTGTGAGTTCCTGTATGTCACAAGTGTAAGTTAAGTATTTAGAATAATTTAGTGAGTACGGAGATGTTTCTGAAGCGATAAACCTTATTTCTTTGTAATCCGATGCATTGTAAAGAAATCAGTAAATTAATACTGTAATAAATCAAGCATATTGTGCAATAATGTTCAACTAAACAGCTTTTTTTTTTAATGGGGGAAAATCATCGAATGACTGCCCCCACCTGGGTGAGGCTGAGGCGGGAGGGAGTGTCAGACTCTTACTGACTAAAAACCACCCCGTTCCTTCTCCTGCACGTCGAGCCGGAGCCCCGGTTACCCGTTAGGTTCTCCGCGACCAACTAAACAGCTTAGCAAGCGAATTCACCCGTGTTGATGGGATAAAAAGCGTTTATTGTTATTTCAGACAGTGATAATTTCATTCTGTTCAATTCAGTTGATTAACAAACATAACATAAATTCATTCTCAAATCCTCACAACATTGACGATATTAGTAAAATATGATAGTTTAAGTTACCTGTGGAAAAGCATACGCGATGGAGTGCACCCCGATCTCAGCCATGAGTAGTGAGACGAGCGAGATGTTATGTTCTGGCACGTCGTGGTCCAGCAACACTCGTATGGCCATGATGGCGGCCGCGCCGGTGGCCACGGTGGCGTCCATCAGTATCACGCGGTAGTCCTTTATGTCCTTCGGGAGACGGAGGTAGTATAGCTGTGGGGAAAATTTAGCTATTAATATGTTTACTGGAGATATATTTATTTACCGCTAAACCCCAACCCTATCTTCCACTCTTGACAATATTTAAGTGTGGGAGAGCCATGCTTCAGTACGAATGGGCCGGTTCGACAAAACGGTTTCGGAATGCTTAAAGAATAAACATACAAACATATTATTTATTTAACTTATTTAATATACAAACAATATACAAACCTCTGGTTCATCAGTCTGTTGGTTAGTCTGTATAAGTATCTTGCCGATGCGGATGTCCTTGCAGATGTCGCAGACGGCTTGTTCCATGGTCTCCCCGGCCCTCAGGATGGACACTCCGCATATTTTCTCGACGTCACACTTGCGGCCCTTGTAGGAGAACCCCTGCGGGGTGTCCACCACCAGGTCGGAGTACGGCAGCAGCGACAGCGCGAACTCTATCACCAGCCGCATCAGGCGCTTGGAGTAGAAGATGAACTCGTCGCGCGGAGTGTCCTTGTTGCGGATGAATGTGTGAAGTCCTTGCACCTGGTGTACGGTACTTTGTGATTATTTGCATTCATAGTTTGGAAATGTCAACTTATGGTCGAGACATTATATTGGTTTCTTTGTCTATTTCTGTCTGCTTTTAAACTTCTTTTATTATTCAATTAATCTATTCAAGTTTACTAGGATTTTAAGTCAGCACTCGTTTTTGTCTTAGTTAGGGGATCTAAACAGGTCTTGTTAAAAAGTGGTTGCCTATTAGTTACCTGAGGTGTTTCTTTAAGTACGTAGAGTGAGTCCGGCACGGGCTGGCCGATGTGGGCGATCGCTAACTTCTCACGCACTTTGAAGCCGCGCTGTAACAATACAATGTAACACTGTATCACATGGAACTTATAGATATATAATATAGTGTCACAGCATGCTACAGTAGTGTTGCAGTAACTCACCAGTTGCAACTGTTTGTGTACGTGTTGCACGATGAGATGTATGGCGACCTTGTTCTCTCCGCCGCGCGGTACGATGATGTCAGCGTGCGCCATGCAGGGCGCGATGTAGCTCTGGTAGGCAGGCTTCACGTGGGTCATGTATTGTTTTAACACCCCTTCTAGGTCACGGCCGCGTTGTACTATGTCTCTGTATACGGTAAGTTAAACATGGTTATCATTAACTTCCTATTAGAAACTTTTTATAGGTCTATTTTATAAATTGTTGTAATGTTTAATCTCTATGTCTTCGAGGTATATATAAAACGGATAATACCAAATTCAGACTTTATGACATTAACTCGTCGAGTACCGGTTTTATAGACACAATTAAAGAACAATAGGTCGCGGTCACCGGTGACCGCTTGGTGTTTGACAGATTAATAGGAAGACTTAATATTTAAAACCGTATAATTTTTCTATCAGTAACGCGTAGGCAATTGTTTGCTGTAAGCTAAGATAAAATACCGACATGTTTTAAATTAGAATTCACATACAAATTACAAAACTTCAATAAAGCTTTGATATAGCGTTTGTAGACAAACGTTTTGTTGCCGACACCTGCCGCTGTAAACTTTTGTAAACGTTGACTAACGCTGGCTAGTTGCCAACATGGCCGACAGTAATTGTGCTTTAAAACATTATTATGACGATATATCACTTGGATTTACAGATGAGAAATAAAAATATTAAAATAATTGCGCCAAGTTCAACCGCCAATGACTCATACGACTGTAGATATTGTGATATACAATATTATTTTACTCGTTTACCAAGATCAACTGAAAAGATAGAAGATAAAAGAAGTATTACTTCGAAAGTGTTCGTCAATTTAATATTTGTCTATTAGAGGAAGAGTTTCGGCCATTTTGGATTTGGAGAGATAATTTTGACATATTTTCCATGTGTAGAATAGACCGATAGTTACATACTGATATGGCTGTTAAGGCTTGCAACGAGTCTTTTATGAGAAGGTACACGAACAGACGGAATAATAGAAAACAGTCTATCTAGTAATATTTAAGTGAAGTTTACCTCCGCAGTCTCCTGGCGAGTCGTATATCCGCGTCGGTGTCGACGAACACCTTCATATCCAGCATCTTGGTCACCTCCGCGTTGTAGAACGCTAGGATACCCTCGAAGATGATCACGTTCGCACCATACATCGTTTTCTGAGATTAAGCACAACTGACATTACAGACTTAAATATGATGCCTTCAGTATACAAACTGACTTTGACTTTAATAATAACTAAAATACAATTACAAATAACAGTTTAAGATTAGACTGGTTTAAGAGGCTCTTTAGTACGGTGGAGTCAAAATATCCGCGAAGTGACCAGCAGTGGTTGAATACAAGGAGGGAAAGATAAGGCTCAGTGACGTACTTTTGGAGAAGCCTATGTCCAGCATAGGACGGGAGCGTGCTGATGATGACAAGGATAGAAAAAGGGAAACCAAAGTCTGCTGTTAAATAAATTAGGTTAGTGAATTATCATTTAAAGTGCCGGTGTCAATAATCGACACTAGCGCCACTTTTCGCCAAAAAATTATAAGACATACTCACAGTCCTATTCTCCCGGGAATGCGTGACGTAGTTGTAGATGGGCACTTCCACTTTCTTGCCCTCCCTTAGCCTCTGCAGTACTGAGATCAGCAACTCGATGTCGAACGCGTCTGGGTGGTCGAAGTTATATTCATTGCGGTTAGCTGCCTGATGCTGTTTCTCGTTTAGCACCTGAATTATTGGGATGTTAGAAAGGGTGTATTGAGAATAGATAAGTTTAACACATGAGAATTCTTGAATTAAATCCAAAGAGGTATAGCATATTTTAGGTTTTAATAAAAGATAAAAATGTCCTTGTTTAAGAACAAGGACCACTATAAGTAGTGGATACTGAGTCTAAGTTTTTATAGCAACAGACCCTAAGTTGTGAGTGTAGTTGAAGTTCGGTACAAACAGAAAGTAAAAATAGACATACCGTGAAATCCAGACAGGGTTTTTATATATTCTTATAACACAACACGTAGATGCAGGTGCAAATTATGCTCTATAAGACCCACGTATCGCCAGTTATGTTATGATTGTCAGTAAAATAAACTCACTTTGTAGAATGAGTCCATACTGACGATAGTGACCCATGGTATGTTGAGAGATTCTATGATTTTGGTGGCCACCGTCGTCTTGCCCGACGCACTGGCGCCGCAAATACCTGACGGGACAAAACCATAGCACTTTAACCACTAATTCTCTTGACCAAGTTGAAACGCTATAGAAAAGGAAATAAAGGTACGGGTATTTATTTGGAATTAAGGCTGAAGATAACATAGGTACCCCAAATTCGTTAGGTTAATAAGTTAACTTGCTTATTCAACAGCCATAGGCTGATTTTGATTAATTGAGTTATTTACAAATTGTTGTTACAGTTTAAGGTGTAACTTAAAAAAAAAATATCTTACGTCACATGAGAAAATTCTACTATTAAGTTTTGTTAAGCAAAATACTAGCAAATTCAAGCCACGCACGTGTCGTTGAACTTCGCAGTCACACTTGAGTGCAGATTACGAAATATTTTTCTTTAACTCGAGTCTATTTATAAACATTTAAAACAATAGCTGGAATTTTCCTCAAGCATTATACAACCGGCTTACTGTTAAACCTTAATGTTTTTTGTTTTCAAGATGGTATGCCTTAAAAAGCATGAAATATTTTATGTTTCGCTTCATGCCTGATCTCACTCTGTTGCGTGGCAGGATGTATATAATAATAATAATAAATATGAAATGTTTACAATGCAGAACAGAGCACAGGAAAACTATGCATTTCTTAGATATCTGAAATAATTTAATCATCATAAAACTGAGATATTGTCTGTTGTTAAATAAACATGTTAGGCGTTATTGGGTAGTCAATGTGTCAAAAAGGTTTTAAGCCAGTTCATAACAGTGCCCGTAACATATGTAGTATGTTGTACAGATTCAGTTCTATACAAGCACCGTATCGTTTTACTTGAATATGTAGTTAAAATTATAGCCTGTATTTAACGAAGAAAATAAAAATAAGATTTTTTCCAAGACTCACCAATAAGGAATGGCTCGACCTCCTGTCCGCCAGTACAGTTGTACCAGGGCGGGCGGCCGGCTGTGTATATGGTACGTCGGTCCGCGTGCAGTATGCTCTCCGCCGTCGTGCGCTTGTTCGGCTGCGACATTGACGTCGTGCGCACGCGACGCGCTCGCGGGGACTTTAGTATATTTGAACCTGGAACAGAAATATGTATTTGAGATTGGAGTGAGTAAGAAACAGCCGAACAAAACCTTTATCTCGACACGTATGGTTGACAAAACCCTAATGTAAACTAATTAATAATTTCATTTTACTATCATATCTAACCGTCACATCATAGTATGCCAATAAAACACAAACAAACATATAAACTAGACACGACACAGCCATTTAACGTATCGTTAGTACATACACACGTAAGTGTTCGTGTAGTGTTGCCACTCATTAAATTAATGCGTGGGACCTCGATGTAGTCTATGATGTGTTTAAATTACACTTGATGGCCACTAAACATCATTAAATTCGCATTATATATATTTATTGAGTATCTTGTTGATCCCCATTACAGTTATATATGTGTGCTAAATGCTGAACAAGTAGGTTTGTATTCGAATTTAACGTTTTTTTTGTTTTATAATCAATTACCATTTTAAGCCCCGAATGAGTAGACCGCAGAGAACATATTCCTATGTAACATCCACTTTATACCACTTGTTATAGAGGTTGTTTTTTAATTTAATTTCATTTACCTATGAAATGGATGGAGACTGCTTACTATTATAGATATCTATTATTTATGCGAGCTATAACAGGCAGGAGAGGATTAAGAAATCGCGCATTAATACACTAGTCATTAAACTAGGTGACAAACAAATTATTTATATCTGTTACGTTTAAGTACAGACCTGACTAAATTGGTACAAATATACTAATATTAATTTATACTTACATAATAAATTACACAATACAAAAAACTATATACACTTCAGTAAAATATCAGTACATATTTACACCAATATTTAATTTATATATTTAATACTTACACGAGAAGAAACTAAACGACAATATGTAGGTATAGTATAATTTGTACATAGCACAGTGGACACGCTCAGACAATCTCAAAAGCACTGTGGATCATAATTCAAAGCTTTAAACTTGATATCTTAGTATTGCATTACCTTACAAATATGGCAGTTATGGACTTAGTATGTATGTATGAAACTTCATATATAGTAAAGTATATGTATGTAGCAAGTATTATTTGACACTCTGTAATGTTCGGGTTGGGGTTTCAATTATTTTAAGTATAGTACTTATGTAATTATATTCAGTTCCACATTATAATCTTAATTTTCATACACTTCCGAAGGAGTGTGATAATGGAGTATAATATTGTATGCATTCTGTTATTCTCGTCGTTGCTCTGAGTTCCATGTAATAAGTGACGACTTTATTCTCATACATATCACACAATGGGTATAATTCCATTGTCCATTCAATAGAATTTAGAAAATGCAAAATTGTAATAATTCGCAGCAAGCAATCAACGCAATTATAACTACTATATAATACTTATTGACTTGAGTAAAGCAACTTACTAATGTTATATATCCCGAACGTGTAGGAAACCTGAAAACTATTCACTACACATACTCTCTATATATATATGTACATACATACAAGTATATATAGTCTAATATAACATGAACTTAATACCCAGACACCTGATAATCCACTAAATACACAAATGTTCAAAAGAGACCAAATAATCTCATTAAATTTAAAAACTCCACGTTGCTTAAATAAAGCCACAAAGTCCTCGGCAGTACACAGTTCCGTTCCCGACTTCATTCAAAGTACTACTAATTTTAGTAATAACACAATGAGGTTACTTGTATTTCTTACGGCCGGTCAATGTCGCCTAATAAAACGAATTATACGCGAACATTGTACCAAATGTGATTTTATTCGCGTAATCAACACTGGGAATCGAAGCTGTGAGAATATACTTATATATATATATGTGAAATAAACCCAATTATTCAAGTTTTAACACTTCAAATTAACATTTTACGCATGTTCAACTACATAGACCACATTACAATGTATGTATCTTACTGTAACATGATTACTGAAGTTTTCCTTATTATGTATTTAAGTTTATATAGGTATGGCTGGAAGTGATATAGGCACAATAACCTTATTGAATACGAAAATAGACATTATGTAATATTTATTTCAGTCAATAATTTTATCTGATTGCAGATAGAATACTTGGTAAGTACTGAACAGTTACCAATTGAACTTATATAAAGCTTTCGATATTTTTTACACGTGCATTATAAATGGAATGATTATAATTGTTAGAAAGTAGATGTCACTCACTATACGCGACCAGTATGACGGAATTTTCTTTCCAAGAAATAGGCGGTTCCCTTCCGTGTATAGGTTTCATAGTTGGTTGTTCTACTAATTACTAATGTATTAGGTAGCTCGACCCTAGATGTAGGTATATAAAAAGATAGTATTGTCTATCTTTGACTTTCAAAAATATGTTATTCTTTTTTTTATTCTAATATATTTTCTACGGAAATATACTAAGTCTTAACCAGAAAATGTTTTATATAGAGCTAAGTTGCCATTCTCTCAATGCGCATTAAATTAATATTGTTGACAATATAAATTGTGCATTGAACGCTGTTCGACTAATTAAAACTCAAGTATTGCGATAAAGTACCTAAAGTACTTTTAATTTGTAATGCATATTCGAATTTAAATATTACTTAAAGGCAAACGATGAAAGAATTTATGCTTTATTTATTTTGGATAATATTTCATGGTTTTTAGTAGAGCGTGGGGTGGTAGCTACGAGTTAGTGATGGCCACTGGACCAATGAAGCACTTTCTATTCATACTGTGCAAGTATTCCCATATTTAATCACTCAAATAAGGACCAAAACATTTATTGTAAAAATACTCATTCAGTTTATAAGCTCCGATAAAGTTCTCGACTTGTATAATGTTATCGAAATGTGACTAGGTGCAAGTAAAATGGCGGCATTGGAAGTAAATCTCACGTGTGTGTAGCACCGTGCACGAACACGTGAGAGAAGCGAGCAGACTCAAACACGCAGCGAATTGCGATTGTTTACGAAAACTACCAATAATCAATACTTACGTAGGTATACGAGTGCACGAGCGATCGAAACGAATCCGTAATTATACGGCGCGTGTTTTACTAACGGGTTTTCACATAACGTCAGTTTTTTTTTGTTTTATTTAAGCACTAGCTGCGTCCGCGACTTCGTCCGCGTGAAACAGTGGTTTACAGCTCCTCCCTCGTTGTTGATAGCATGATAATTTATGTAGCCTATATGTTGACCCGACCTGTTAGTACCTAATATTCATGCAAAATTTCAAATAAATCCATGCAGCACTTTTTAAATTCATCGCGGATGGTTTCGGTATCGACTGTAGATCACGATCAAAGCATTCTTTTAAAAAAATTGATGTACAGTTTTCACATTCCTACGATTTCATTATATGTATAGATAGAAGATAGATAACTTCCATAGATTTTAAATTAAACCATGCCAGGGACCGATAGTCAGCATTAGGCGACAACACAATTACTATGGAGTATGGTCCTTGTCATGGTGTGAAATTAGTTGAGTAACCAGTGCTACCACGTTGAACAATCATGTGAGTAATGTCCAAATACTCAAACGCCATTAAATTTTAAGTCGAGCTTATGTATAGTTCTGTCTACAATTTTTTTGTAAAATGATAGAGATGGCACGATATTTAAGTACAAATTAAAATTGAATAGCCTTTCTGTATTCGGGCAAAAGCTGGACAGCACAATTAACGCTTGTTTTGTTGATAAAGTAGTAAATTTTTGCAGTCATGTCAGTTAGCTTCGTGGATGATAAACCATATTTACTTATAGTCATTTCCGGAATTTTCAGAGTGTCAATTTCATCTACAGATTTTTGCTAGTCATACAACTTTGTCACGGAATTGAACACAAGGTCGCTGACTTCGCAGTGAACCTTACAATGCGGTAGACTACTCTCTGCAGATTTTTTCCATGACGTTTTTAATCATGTTTAAACTACTTTTACATCATTTATTATTAAAATATATGCCATGCAAACTTGTTCCTTACATAACATAATAAATAAATTTACAGACATGGCGTCATTGGATACTTGAGCATATATTTACTTTACAGAAAAAATAAACAAACATTGCATAAAATATGGTCGTGTTTTACCACGGTGCCACGGTCTACCATATGCAGGAGGTTAACAAAGTCGCCGTACTCGTCGCAAAAAACGGGGCCACGGTAAATTAGTGCTTATTATAATTGGTTGAAGGCATACATCATTTAATTGGGGATTATATTACATTATGGTTTTAATACAGAAGATGCGATGCCTACCTATTTATAAACGTATCAACATCACAGCATCAATTTTTTTAATTCATCCACGTTTTGCCAATTTTTGGCAGGAGAGAACTCAGTATAAGGAGCATTTTACCCAATACAAAACGACCTTGACCCTTGGCCTTTTTGCGCCCTGTACACTATTTTTCTTGTTTTAATTTTTGTAACGGAGCTAATAAACTGTTTTTCTTCCTTTCAATACAAAACTCCATGTTATAATTGAAAATCGAATTACCAAATAATGTTTTGTTTTACTCTGTTTGATATTCATAAACGAAATTCTTAAAGAGGTAAAAATTATAGATTTTATAGTACATCTAGTGAGTGCATGGTGCCTCATAGTGTTCAAACAATAACAAGAATATTGTATAGAGTAGGAAGTTAGGAAATACTTCATTATCACGACTTATCTATTATCGTAAGTACGCTAAGTGGTAAATGTAACACCACTCAGTTGAATTATATTTCACTTCAGTGACAGATTTTGTGTACCAAACTCTAGGAAAAATTAAAAATCTAAAACAGTGTTGTTTGCGTCACTTTTAACAAGCATTTATTTAACTGGCAATATATGTATGTTGTGAATTTTTGAAGCAGATACCTTCAACCCATTGAGTTTTATACACGTTTAGTTTGCATGACCATAAATGCCAAGCTACGTAAAAGCTTGTTGTAAAAAAATCATATTCGAAAAGTATGACTAGTCATGTGGGTTGGCGTAAAACGAATGACCTAATTTTGAGTAACGAAATATTTTAATGTTACTCAAAATTAGGTCATGATTAGGTGCAACTGGGAAGGTAAGCTATAGCACTACTGTGTGGTCTAGACCTTATCGTCTCGTCTTACAATAGTACGGATCAAAATACACCTTCCATAACAATAAAACGAAATTCTACTTTAACTAATCGTGACACAGCTTCTTATCCTATGGCAGAATATCAGTGTCTGCTTCTTGACACTCATTATAATCAAACTAAATTCTACCTTAACTAATCGAGATAGAGTTTCGTGTCATATGGCAGAATGTCAATGCCTGTTTCTCGACCTCAGCGGTTAGTTTCGCATGCAGGTGTTATATTATATTTATAAATTTTCTTATTATTATATTTTGTTAAACGTGAGACAATTTAAAACATAATACCTGAGATAATAATATGATAAATACAATACGTGTAAAGTGTAAGAAGACTATTTAAAATGTGATACGTTTTTTCCATTTGGTTTGATTGGTAGTTGGTATTACATTACTGTTAAAAAAAGCATAAGTTATCATCAAAATTCTATCGTGTCTAGTAAAGATAAGGTGAAAGAAAGATAGTGATTTCTCATACACCTGGATATACGCAGTAATTAGTTAAAGTATATAGCAATTGCATCATTTTCAAACTATTTTCAGTAGTATAGCAATTTTATATCGTAAAATATAAAATTTTTCGTAAAATGTATATATAAAAGTGGTTTTTCTGTTTTTACAGTCCTGTAAACAATAGGAAAATCTATATTAGAGCATTCTCCTTCAGGGAACTTTCCCAGTGAATGGCCGACCAACGTCATAGGTTATTGCCACGTCCTACAGCATAGACAAACCCATCTAAATATAACCCGAACTAGTGAATCAGCTGTACTAGTGCTGAACATACGCCAGCCGGTCAAACTACTCCAATTTATCATATTTATATACACATTTCGAACCTTAATGTTTTGTAATAAAGTCGTACTGGAGTTAAGATAGATCAATGTGTTAGTTTAACTATCATGTGTTTTTAACCTAAGAAAACTAACAGGCTTCGTGAGAAAAGTATAAAAGTAAAGGCAGATATTTATAATATCCGATTTTATACAGACTTTAGGTATTTGTTTGGTAAATCATTAAATAATCAATAATCAATCATTACTAACTAAGTGATTAACAGTTACTTATAATAACGACTTTGGACAGGAAATTGTGAAAAGTGCTTTTTTTGTTTGTCTTACGTCAAATCATTATTTTTTATAACTTAAATAAAACCAAGCTATATATGTATATCCTCACCTGTTGAAGGAGGTCTGTAAGGCCTCACGTTGGGTACCGTGGTAGGTGAGGCTGGCGCCCTGGTTGCGTAGTCATCATCTTCGAGGAACACTGGCTCGTTCAGCTCCAGAGCAAGTTCTGTGTCGCTGAAACATTACGACACGGTCTCATAATACTGCATTACCTATGTGACATGTCTAATAAACCTATGGCAGTCCTATATAAGAAGTTTTGTATTGGTTTTCTATTTTTGCGCTTGCTAGATGGCGCCTGTGTAGATTATTATCTTGTTAGTCCTTGCATTAGCAAAATTATATCAGTAACTAATCATTCATAACGCAAAATTTTACTGGCGTTATTATACGAAGTAAAAAGGGCTAACTTTACACATCATCGCTTTTATACTTGAAGTACCAATAAATATTACAATTTGGCGTACCTACATTTACGAATGGGTACGTCCCCATTTAATTAGGCTTCGATAAACAGGCGCGCCTTTTAATAACGATACAATATTAGTTTGGAAATCGATAAAAACAAATCTTTAGTCTTGTCACCGCAAGTGTGTCAATATAACGTAGGTGCCGTTTGATGCCCAAATAGCCAGTGCCATTAGTAGCTAGGTACTTATTATAGATAGGTAATATTGTTAAACAATGTGTAAGGTACAGTTCTCAGCTAACTATGCATGTTAAAATTAATACTTGTGACTTGTAAACTGAGTTAGTAGCACCAATAAATGAGGAATGACTACAACACATCAAATAATAATATTTTATATCAAAAATGTCAATAGTGACTGTTTTAAGAAATGGGAAATAGTGAAGTATTTTTTTTAATAACTCTACACACAGATTAATGCATGCATATATTTATTTTTATTGAGGAAACATTCCTATTAATGTATTATAGTTTAATATCTATTATGTAGTAGGCATAATACATATTATTTAAGGAAATTTCCAAACATTACATGCAGATCTATGAAAAATGATTATTTGAAAGGTCAGTCACATTGAAGGTTGATATGTTAATTAATTAGAGTCTGCCCAAATACTCAAACACCACTCATTTTAAAACACGTTTAAGTATAGTTCTGTCTCTACAAATTCTTTGTAAAATGACAGTGATAGCATGATATTAAAAATTGTAGTAACCTTTCAGTATTCGGGCTTTTTTTTTTTTTTTTTTTTTTTTTTTTTTTTTTTAAGGGGGGAAAATCATCGAATGACTGCCCCCGCCTGGGTGAGGCGGGAGGGAGTGTCAGACTCTTACTGACTAAAAACCACCCCGTTCCTTCTCCTGCACGTCGAGCCGGAGCCCCGGTTACCCGTTAGGTTCTCCGCGACTCCGAATCGGCATCGGCCCTATTGGGCCCCATCTGTGGTGGTCTGATGGCTCTTTGAGGCGCGCGCGGAACGCGACGCGCCGTACGCTCGGGTCTGTTTCTGGTCGGACGGGGAGCCACCCATGCTCGCCGTCCGCAGGCCCGCGCTTACGGTGGCCGGAGATCGTCCCGCGATCCCCGACGCCCGGTGTGTCCTTCGCGATGGCTGGGTTGCGAGGAGGCAGCGCTTCGCTGCCTCACGCGTCCCGCCTCCTCCTTAGCTAGCATGACTGCTTCGCAAAAGGAGGAGACGGCATCCCAATCCCCCTCGCTCCGCATCATGGCCTGCACTAGGCCCGGACGCGAGAGGTCGCCATCGCCGATCGCTTCCCTGAGGACACGGCGGTGCTCAGCCCACGAAGGGCATTCTCCCACCGTGTGTTCCACCGTGTCCTCAGGGCGGTCCTCGCAGTGATGACACCCGGGCGTTTCCTCCCGCCCCATCAGACACAGGTACCTCCCGAAACTGCCATGTCCGGTGAGGACCTGCGTCAGGCGGTAGGTGAGGACGCCGTAGCGTCTCTCAAGCCACTCCTCAAAGAGGGGACTTACCGCTGCAATGGCAGCGAGCCCAAGTATTCGGGCTTAAGATTAGCTTGTGTGTGTTTACAATTATTTAATTTTATAGAATCCAGTTTGCAGCGATTCCTATTAATTATATTTGCTATTTCTCTTAATAGCCAAGGTTAGGCTTTGTATATTAAAGAATTGACTAGATTTTATATTTTAGGTATGAATAATTCATAAGTTAGTTAGGTCAGCAAAAGCTGCCCAGAATTTTACAAGATTACTTAATAATAAAACGAATAAATTGTCGAATACTCGTCGCGTTAATAATGTAATTCATTATGGTAAGTAACTAAGGTTTAATTCAGTCACATTCAGGCAAATTAATATTTTTCTTATTTATAGTTTTAAGGATGCCTATACACAACATTAAAACCACTAGCCAAGACTACCAGTATTAACAATTTTAAAAAAATTGGGTGGAAATTGAAAATTGTTTCTTTAATCAACAATATTCGAGGTGTAGACTCAACACAATCACAGTTTACGCTTTCATAACAAACCGTGGAATTGCAGCGGGTATACAAACATAATCACTAGAGTAAACTAAAGTATATCAGTGAGATAAGAGTTATCAGTGATGGTGGAACCTAACCAGTCTGTTGTCGGAATTGAGGATATTTATTTTGATAAGCAAGAGGTGTGTCCGAATATAAACCATGGTTTAATGGACTTATGTAATAGTGGCATAAGTTTAATTTTCCCTGATGGAACTTGGGTTATTATATAGCTCTATTTACCAGGAAAAGTCCTCGAGTGAAGTATGTGTTATTAACTTTTTCAGCAGTATTTGTTTATGAAAAATGTAGATAAGAAAATATCTTTTTTGCTTATCTAATGCAGAGTTCCGGTTGATCTTAATGAAGTTACAAGCAAAAGTTTGTATGGTTTTCTGTTACTCAATTATGTCAAAACGGTTGAAGGGACTGATATGAAATTTGAGACAGAGTAGGTCATGGTCTGGATTAGCTACTTGGATTGGATAGGCTACTTATTATCCCACGGGAAGGAACCCGCTGGCAGAAGTTAGCATAAATTAAATTGAACATTGTGAAGTTTAACATTTCTGGCAATGAAGCAAATACAAAGAAAACGGGATACTTGGCCAAGTTCCAGAAACTACAATTTGCTGTAAGGTAAATCCCATTCATGAAAGTAATTTAGGTATGAATGGATTTTCCTAAAACAATGAAATTCTCAGAAAATGAAGACACGAGATAGCAATCTTCTATCAAAATGTCACCTTCTAAGAATACTTGAGAAGATCATGACGTGTTTAACATTAAATTGAAGGATAAAAAAGTGAAAATAAGATAAAAAGTGAGCAAATAAGTTGAACAAACAGGAAATTAGGTATATTGCGACATTCGGTCTTTAAAAAAGTTTTCTGTTCAAAAAAAACTTGTTTGACTTGATCATAAAATTACAGAGTAAAAGGCAGTTAGATAAAATAATAATATTCCCTCATCATTATCCCCCTACATTGATTGATATGCTGTTAACATAGTTTTAAAATGGGGACAAGGTTTTTCTGTTCATCAAGGTTAGATTTGGTTGGTTTATGGCATGACCTACTTTTAAAATCCTGAATTATACAATAGTTATTATCAGCAAACTGCATTTTAAAAATCTAAAAATAAACAATGTTAGATTTGAAAAGGTGAAAAACTCTTTGTTGTTGTTTCTATTCTCATACCAATTAGAAATGTTACATTCTGGATTCCCATCTGAATAATACAAAGTTTATCATTACAAGTCCATGTAATAAATATTATCAGCGACAATGTTGTTAATTTGTTTATTGTGGTAACTAGAGGGCATAACACAGGATGATGTGGTTAGTTTGAACTTGTAGATTATTTTACTTTTTATTAGTTATCAATAACAAATTAGAATTGCAGATATACCGACATAGATAACTCTACTGACATATTTATGAACCTGAGAAGTATTTTTATGTTAGTTTTTAGAATTTATTCCAGTCTTTAGATAACATTACTCTATTTTCGCCTACATAATACTTAAAGACTAATTTTATATGTAAGTACCAGAGCAAATAATTCCATAGCATTTAAAAGTATTTTATAGCTTCTCATGAAACAGTTACTTTAACACAATGGATCTTAATATTCATCTACCTGTGAAGTAACAAAGACATACTTTTACTGTCCGAGAACCGAACAATACAATAATGTAATAACAACCACCATAAATCAGGTGATTCATATGACAAGCATGATAACAAACTGTTATGTTATATATATAAGTGTAATATATAACATGTTATGTTACTAATTATAACCTGTCTCTGTTAAGGAGCTCTGTAATATTTACATTGTTATCAATTTGTGTGTCAATTAATATGCTAATTACATTGTTGCAAAATTCAAGTGGATAGTTATTTTTAAATTAAAAATATAAGATAATATAGTCTAAATTGATAAGCCATGAATTAATGGTACTTTCATTTCTTGTAAGAATTTTGTTCAATAATTAATTGTGGTTTTCATTTTGTAATATTGATGTTTCAGTACCAAATTGTAGAGTTAGTATTTCAATGACAGATAATTAAGATTCAATTTATAGAAAGGTCACAAACTCTAGATAACAATGAGACTGAACCACAGATAATGTTTTTTTAGATCAAGGTTGTATAATAGATTAGTTTGCAAAACAAAATACTAAAGGAAAAATTGTTTTCTATAGTAAGATTATAGATAAAAACACTCACATTAGGCATTTTATCTCTGATTATTGTTATCTGTCTAAAATCCTGATAGTGTAAATGTAAATTTCATGTAGTGTTTAGTAATACACAATATTATCTTATAAGGTCATTATCACCGTGTTTATATTTTTTGTTTAGTCAAGTTTAGTCAACAAACAGATTGAAGTCAGTCACAGTTATGATGAGATGCAGTGAGTGCTACCACTACAGAGCTAGCTACTGACAACAATGTGCAGCTGTGGTCACTGTCCAGTGTCCAGTAGATATGCAACACAATAACAACAAGGTAAAGCACACACAACACACGACGCGTGCGGCACGGGACAGAAGCCGGCGGCTAGTCACACAGACGTCCTAACATCGAATGGCTGAATATCTTACGGGTTTGGGAAGATCAGTGAACCTGTCTCCATCTCTTGCTATTCCCGACACGGCGTGCTAGGGCACGTTCAGTGCCGACCACGTGTTTTCACGACACGATTATTCAGCGAGAAGCGAGCTGCCAATGAACTAAATGATTTTCTAAAAATATCACAATGCGTGCAGAGGTTATAATGCAACGTTGCTTCCACGAATTATGATATGTTACGTTTAGCACAAAAACACGACACGCGAAAACACTTCGTAGACTGCAGGATGACTAAGCCAACACTGAAAACGATTCTTCAACAGCGCATTTTTTATAACACTGACCAGCTGTTTAAATAAACATTTCATAAGGTTAACACACTCGCTTTACCTATCGGAGCTGGCAGAGCTGGGCGTTTCAAATTTATTCAGCTTCCCAGCCATCACTTAGGGTCACTTGATCTGTTATTTATTTTATAAAAATTGTATTAGTTTGTAAAATTTACGACTTGTATGCACACGCAAGTAACTGAATTGACATTCCGCGTTCAGAAACTACGTCATCCCATCTCCGATGCGTCATTTAATGAACTGTCAAATTGTAATCAATAAAAACAGGAAAGTCTAAATTTTGCAACCAAACAAATAAAATTTATTTTTTGCTATTGAGTTAAAATACTAAAATAATATCTGAGACTACCATATTATTTTATTTACTTAGGTTGGTAAACCTATAAAATCATCTTCTGTTATAAAATCTTATTTCTGAACGTACACGTCGTTTCATTACACGTGAATACTTCGCAGTTTAAATTCGCTTTCAATATTTCGTTAAAATTTATTCAATACTCATTAGATTTTTGTTAGTTAAATAAAGTTATTACGTAATAAAATAGTTATACCATTTTATAATTAAGTATAGGTACCTAACAAAACATACTTTTTTATTCTACACTGGCTAGTTATAAAAATTGATGCCAGATAATAGATGAAAAGTTCATATTTATAATTTTGATTTTATAGCTGTGCTCTAGTTTTTTCGAGGTATTTAGGCCAGTGTGTTTCTATTATTGTAAGTAGTTTTTATAACCTTTTAAGACTTTTCATGATTATACCCTCTTTTTCAACGTATTTGGAATTTTACATCTTTGTGATAATTGGGTACCTACATGTGATACGTCCTACTTCCGAATAACTCACTAAGAGATTAAGGTTTAAATTTTTTTTTATTATAGTAGGTACATCGTGATTTTAAATAGACAAGCTTATGATTTGTCAGAGAGTGCCTAGTGAAAATATGATAATGTTGGCTAGCGCTTTGCTATTCTTTTTCATAAGGAGCAAGGCAATTTTTGGTCTCTTTTTTAGTTTACCTACTTAACATAGTAACAAGTTATAAATCTTGAAATTATTATAGTTAATGGAATGGAACAGAAAAGATGGTAATATGTTATCATAGATAGGTATTATATTTTATTAACATAAAAATAACATCACGCGTTTAATCTTTGAAGGATTGGGCGTAGATATATCTTATTAGTTACAATGTCACAATAATTATCCTAACACAAATCAGTGAGGTAAGTTATATTAAAATTATATTGTTATATACCTTTACATGTTTATTTGGATTATTACTTATGAAGTGAAAAAACCTTTACTGTAAGTATTCAGCAATCGCTCTGGCACAAATATTTTTCTTATGTTTTGAGAAAAGTATCTTATGTATTATATATTATCATGTGAGGGAGACAAGCACGAGACAAGGGTTGTAAACATACATTTAACGAGTGCTCCATATATACCTGGTGCCCTGGTACTGGTACCTACTGTTAGAAGAGACAATCGTAAGTTTATTTCCCCCTCTGGCACGGGCGACGAGAAAATCTTCAATTTGGCCCGGATTTGTGGTAATCCTGCCTGATGGAGTAGCGCACAACTATTCTTTTTGAATTGTTTTATGAATAATAGAAATGTTGAAAGTACCTAGGTATAATTTATTTTCTATATTATATATTTAGTTTTCATAATGAGGGTGGGTAAAGGTCGGAATGTCTGTTTATGAAAATAAATTCTATTCTGCAGCTGTAGCCAGCAGCTAAAGGCACAGTGCCTCTAGCCAAACGCCACTTTAGCGCCTGTCTACAGAAAGAGTAGAAATCAAAATGTATTGTTAGGTTATAGATGCAGAGTATAATATTTTTATACAATAGCAACGGTTGGTAAATGATGTTCTTATTTAAATACTTCAGTTCCTTTAGGTTTTGTTATGCAGAGTATATTTTTATATAATGGCAACACTTGCTAAATGATGTTCATAATTAAAATGCTTGCTAGATATTATTAAAATATTATTTGGTCGATGTTTTAATAAGTTAGTTATTTTTTTATTTTATTTAAATACTTTTACTATTATTACAAAAATATGAAATTTTTAGTTAATTAGTAAATTATTTGAGTGAAGGTCATTTTTGATGAATGTTTGTGTAGAATATGGCAATGTTAGAGATTACACTTTTGGCGGGAATTGAGAAAGTTCGGTCGATGGTTTCGGCTTAAATTGTAAAATTATATTAAATAAGTAATTGAAAGTCGTTACGAGTATTATTTCCTGACCCTAATAAGTCAGAAGTGGGATAACAAGAAAAATATAAATTTTCTTGACACGCTCACAGAAGTGGAAAGTAAGTAACGAAATTTTTTTTTCTCCCGCTCACTGTTTTATTTCCTATTATTAGAATGGCGGTCAAATCTTAGTTTTAATTTATAGAATGCGATTTTTTTTTTGTTTGTTGTCGTATTAGATTAAAATTATCAATTAACTTATGGAGTAAAACAATAACTGTTAGTGTAACAATCATTGTATGTACAAAAGGAGATAAGCAGTGGTTGTATAACGACGATTTGACCTGGTTAAATGTAGATTTTTGTGATGAAATAGTCACATAAATCGGAGTGTGTATGTATTATTATAACATTTATTTTTGTTTGTTAGTTCACATTCAGGTTCAGTGAGTGATACCTGCCATAAACTTATTTATTTTATAGCATTAATTAATGGAAAAACTACTGACGCATAGATCTGAAGTTTGATTCCCGGATTGGGTAAAATACGATTAGTCTATTTTGTGGTTAAAATGTGACCTGAGTGGGTTGTGTATCTACAGCAATAAGCTTCCCTTACGAGCAATTGAGATGCATAATTTTTAGTAGTGAATAATCACACTGAGCCAAAAGTTTGACATGTTTACTACTAGATGTCGCTAGTAGACTAAATTAATAATTTCAACAAAGTGTATCTCAACCTTTTTGGGAATGAAAGGCGTAATAATATGTTCGTGATATGTAAAAAGGATATATATTAATATATATTTGTAAGTTTCAGAGTACAATGGACAAAGTTGATCAAAATGCCCGAGGTCAAGGGCCCGATGTGGATGAAACCCTGGTAAAGGGTCTGACGTTGGTGAAACCCGAGGTAAAGGGTCTGACGTTGGTGAAACCCGAGGTAAAGGGTCTGACGATGCTGAAACCCGAGGTAAAGGGTTGGATATTGCTGAAACCCGAGGTAAAGGGTTGGATATTGGTGAAACCCGCGGTAAAGGGTTAGAGATTGGTGAAACCCGAGGTAAAGGGTTGGATATTGGTAAAACCCAAGGTAAAGGGTTAGAGATTGGTGAAACCCGCGGTAAAGGGTTAGAGATTGGTGTAACCCGCGGTAAAGGGTCCAATCGCAATGATACCCAAGGTAAAGGGTTGGAGTTTGCCGGTCGCGTGTCCAGTCAAGGTGAAGACTTGGTATACGCACTGGTAGGTGGATTGGAAACTTCTGATATGGAGCGAAGTTCCATGTTAGGCACACATGGTGGTACGGAAATTAAGGAACGTCGAGATCAGCTTACGACGAGAACTTCTAAACGTACATCGCGCACGTTAAGTAAACGTCAGTACTTCACACCTTCGGAATCGAGTGATGAGTCGCCACCACCGAGGAGAAAACGAGGAGCAAGGGAGGAGAGAACTGAACGTAATTTAATGGATAAATTCTTAAATATTTTAGATAAGTTCAAAAACTCAGATAAACCTAAAATGTCTTTGATAAGAACGTAATACCGGAGTTCGACCCTATGTCTAAAGAGCAAAATATTTTAACGTGGTTAACAAAAGTCGAAGAATGTGCCGAAATTTATGGCTGGCAAGAGAAGGAAATAATTCATTATTCTTTACCTAAATTGACTGGAGTAGCTAAAACGTGGTATCAGGGTCTAACTTCGATATTACATACTTGGTCTGAATGGAAAAGGAAACTTATCGATTCTTTTCCATGTCGAGAGGATTATGCTGAACTTCTTACTAATATGTTAGCTAAAAAAGCTAGATATGGGGAGTCATTAGAGCATTACTTTTACGAGAAAAATAATTTATTAAACCGATGTAATATATCTGGTAGACAGGCTGTGGATTGTCTCTTGCATGGTGTTGAGGATCGTGCTGTTAAGGTTGGCGCACAAGCAGCCCAGTTTAAAGAACCAGAACAGGTACTTAAATATTTTAGAACTGTTAAAAGCGGCCACAGTAGAGACTCTACTTACACACACGAACGTCGGTTTAGAGGCAACATAAACCGCCCAGGGCCAGCGAAATCAGGTATGAGTACTTATAATACAAATGTAAGGTGTTTTAATTGCGACGAGTTGGGTCACCCAAGTCGTTTATGTGACAAGCCTCCTGTAAAATGTACAGTCTGTGATAAATTTGGACACCGAAGCGATAAATGTTACAGGAATAATAATAATAAAGATCAACCTGTGGTTAAAGAACATAAACAGGTCTCTGAAGTTAGTGTAGAGGATTCAGGTTTAAGTAAGTATATTATGGACATCAAAATTAATGGCTCAATAATATCGTGTCATGTTGATCTTGGTAGTCAATGTTCTCTTATAAGAATGAGTGTTGCTAAATCACTCAATCTTCAAATAAAAACACACTCAAACTTACCTTTACTTCGAGGTATAGGCGCAAACTTGGTTTCCCCAATAGGAGTCGTCCTGGCCACTGTCGAAGTCCAGGGCTTAATCGAGACAATAGATTTGTACGTTGTAGAGGATTATGTCCTGCTGCACCCCGTTTTACTGGGACATTCTTTTACAGAAAAACCTAATGTATTAATAATTAAAACGCCCAATGAAATTCAGTTTCAAAGGATGCCACCAAACAAATTAAACGTAATAGTAGATAATGATACCGATATTCCTAAGAATACACTACGCACAATCGTAATTCGCACTGACATGGACTTGGATTGTGATATATATGTCAATGGTACGCTACGTGGCCCTGAAGGTAAAGAGTATTATATATTTCCCGGTCAGTATGAGATCAAAAACGGACGTGGTGCAATTCTAATCTACAATTTATCATTTACTCCAATCTATTTTGTCAAA